GGTGCAAACTCGGCTCTGAACCTGGTAGTAATATCAGCCCAAGTCATCGCATCAAGCGCTGCGTCATCCCCGATGACATGCCCGATCTCCTCCCACCAATCTCGTGCCTTGTCCTTCAGAAGACAGGATGCTAGTCTGACCTTGTCCCCCTCGGGACATCTGCTGGTGCGGAATGCATTGGCGACATCCGCCAACCACCTGGTACTAGCGATGGGATCCTGTGCCCCATGATAGTCTGGAGCTCCACAAGCCCGGAACTCCCTGAAGGTGAGTGTGCGCGACCCCATCATGGCCGCCACCTCAGCACGGAATGTGCTCAACCTCTCGTCCATCAGCTCTAAAATACCCTCCTTGATCGAACCGAAGATCACATGAGTCTGCTCAAGTATGGTGCGAGTAACCTCTGAAGAGAGGAACTCCCTGGTCTGCTCATCTAGATGCTCTGCCCCCGGGCCTGATCCTGATCCCTCACTGGCTCCTGAACTGCCAACTGCTGGCCTAGGGCGTAAAACCACCATTCTGAAAATACATCATGATAAATGTCAGAAACACTGATACATCTCGAGGGATCGCTATTACTACAAGTTTCCTGGTCTCATTTCAGCCTTCCTTGATTCAAGTACTGATCCTCTGCTTTCAGTAGTACGGGCCCATACTACCTTCCACATCTATCCGTACTTTCCTCAAGAACTGCCTTGACTCCACCAAGTCACTTCTACTGCTACTAATCTCTGCTACTCTCATCATAGGCTTGCCCTAGGGAAATCTCTGACTCCACCCAAACCAGTCCTCAGCTGCTGAAGGCCTCATTGTAATGCCAATTAGCCATCACCTGAATACCATCACATGTGACGAGGCTCAGATAATCCTTCGAGTAAAATACTCGTCCCTACAACGGTTAGACTCAAACGAGAGCTGCGCAATAGGGCCAAATCCAACACTCTGAGATTATTCAACCCTGATCACATGTAACGTGACGTATTCACCTAATGGCTAACTCCCATCACTCAGAGTCCCACAAAGCACAAAGCAAGCAGCATTCAGACACAGGAAACTATTCAAGCAAATCTATCCTCATAACAAGAAATTGTACTAGCATACAATGCTAAGCTCATACTATCAGGCATAACCTAAACAGGCTATCCTACTACTGTCTACTCAATACTAGCATGCAATTCTCATAAAGCTGAAACACATATAGCAGGCACATAAGGCATCCTCGAAGATCCTTAGTCCTATTCTAACATGCTGTTCTACTGAAACTGAAACTGATAATGATAACATAAACTTGTATGGGTAATTTGGGAGTACTTACTTGAGCTCGGCTGATCACATGCACCACACCCTTTTCTCTTTTCAAAGTTCTTTTCTTTCTAAAAAAATTTCTTTTCACTTTTTCTAAAACTCTTTTCTACAAAAATTGATTTTCCCTTTTGAAAATTTCTATACCAATTCCTTAGTTTGAGTTCAGACACACCCGAAAGTGTGCCTGAATCCCTCAAACCAAGGCTCTGATACCAACTTGTAACATCCCAAAATACAACCAATTTTTTTTTTGTTTTTAACATTACCAAAAACCCAACATCAAATGTTATATAATAAAACCATATATCGTATGTCTCGAAATGCCATAGTAAATGTATCAAATCAAAACTGAAGTCAATATCATATCAAAATATCTGAACAAAACTCCCAGCATAAAACTGTAACTGTGGTGTGTACCATGCCATCATCCCGAGCTCTTTCCCTTGCTAGCAGAAGTACCTGAAACCAAAACTAAAACTGTAAGCACAAAGCTTAGTGAGCTCCCCCAAACTACCACATACCATACAATAACATATAGAGCACATACTGGGCCTTGCCCACTGCATCGAACCGAAATCCAGAAACTGCATCGGACCGAAGTCTGGAAACTGCATCGGACCGAAGTCCGGAAACTAACCAGGGCCTTGCCCTCTGCATCGGAACGAAGTCCGGAAAATGCATCAGACCGAAGTCCGGAACTAACCAGGGCCTTGCCCTCTGCATCGGACCGAAGTCCGGAAACTGACTGAACATAGCATAGCATAATTATAACTACTAGCATAAACACATATACTGCATACTGCATCGGACCGAAGTCCGGAACACATAACACAAAGACATGCTTGAATCACAAAGACATCAAGCACACTGAACTACTGCATCGGACCGAAGTCCGGAACTACTGCTAACTAAACGGGTCGGCATTGTGGCCGTAGACCCGTTCCTACTGGAAGGAAAACTCACCTCGTAACGCTGGCTGCTGAGATGCTAAATCTGGAACTGTCTGACTGCTGCTCCGGAACTCCCCGACTACAAATCCCATAAACACTAAATCAAATACTAATAACTAATCTCAGGGTAAAATGACTATTTACCCCTGGTCAAAGCCACATCCTGGTCAAAGTCAACTATCAGTTGACCGGACTCGCCGAGTTGGGCCGCCAACTCGCCGAGTCCCTATCATTCTTTCTAATCCTCTACTCGCTTCTACTCGTCGAGTTTGGCAAAGACTCGATGAGTTCTCCTTCGATACTAACATCGAGTCTAACTTCATCCGACTCGCCGAGTTGTATGAACAACTCGTCGAGTGCTCCTTCATCATATGAACACGTCTGACTGTGACTCGCCGAGTTGTATGAACAACTCATCGAGTCTGTTCTTGAGGCAAGAAGATTGTCGTGGACTCGCCGCGTCATGGCGTCGACTCGCCGAGTCCCTCCATTTCTAATTCTGCTTCCTAACTCACCGAGTCTAATCTTTACTCATCCAACTCGCAGCACAAAAAGGGGAAAGTAATTTGGGGATCACGAACCGACTCGTCGAGTCCTATGAACGACTCGCCGAGTCTCATGCATGCTAATACTATACAACCGATTTCAGTCGATTTCAGTGCATCCAATCCATAGATCTGGGTCCCTAGGGTTGGTTTTACACGTAAAGTTTCCAACTTTACGTGCATGCAAGATCCAAAATACCCAAAATAAGCTAAAAGTGGAGTTCTAGGTTTGGAATGGGAACTTGGCTCAATAAATGTGGCAACCTTGAGCTCATGGAACTCTGAAATGCCTAGATCTGAAGCCCATTCATCTCAACTACTTCTCAAATCGACCTCAAAGTCAAGAAATGGCTCAAATTAACAATAGCAAGCTTTTAAGGAGATCTACATGCTAGGAAGTAAAGATTCGAGTTTCATACCTCAATGGGTACTGAAATGTGACCAGAAACTCGGATCCTCTTTGCTTTCTTTGAATACCCATTTTCTCTCTTCTTCTTCTAACCCCCAAAATGCACCAAAATCCTTCACAAGGTGAAAAATACTTCAAAAATGCTAAGGTTTGACAAGGGACGTTCTGAAGGTGATGGAGGCTGGTTAAGGGCTCATAAGGTTGTTTAAATAGGGTGCAAACCCTTGAAATTAGGGTTTCATCCAGACTGGCAGACTCGCCGAGTCCAAGAATATAGACTCGTCGAGTCGCCGGCTAAACCCGCGTGCCAAACCCGTCTCTACTCGACGAGTCGAGCTTCTGACTCGTCGAGTATAGCTTAAGAAAAGGGAAAAATGCTATGTTAGAATACATACCAGAAATGGGGCATTACAAAAAGTCACATAGAATCGATTAGCATCCCTTGTGGATGATTTGAAAGGTCCACACACATCTTTGTGTATGAGATCCAACAAACATTCACCTCTTTCACAAGATCAAGTGAAAGGTAATTTTGTCATCTTACCCAATAGACAAGATTCGCACGTATCATTTGACCTTAAGTCAAATGATTCCAACACTCCATCCTTTTGGAGTTGGGTGATGCGCTTCTTGTTAACGTGTTCAAGACGACAATGTCACAAGCATGTTTTGTCTATACCATCAGACGAAGTAATTTGAAAAACACTATTACCTAAATTGTCTACGCATATCACAGTTTCATACACATCATCACAACGTAAAGCTTCAAAATAAAAAACACAATTTTTATAAACAGAAATTGAATTATTCAAATCATTAAAACCATATCTAAAACCTTGTCTGGACAATACATCAAAAGAAATAATGTTTCGTGTTATTTCTGACGAGTATCAACAATTTATCAAATCTAAACTAAACTCACTAAAAGCACTAGACTATAAGCTCCAACATTAGACTATAAACTCCAACATGTGAAGATTGCCTATTGCCATGATCAAGTTCTCTATCTCTAAATCTGTGGGTTAAGATAACTCACTCTTGTCTCTTCTATACACAACATTCATTAACGTTAAGATAACTCACTCTTGTCTCTTCTATACACAACATTCATTAACGGTTATTTGATGAAATATATGTATTTTTGCGAAATTTTAAATAATGCTTAACAATTTTGCTTGATTTTGATTCTCTTTAAAAAAATCTTAGTTTTTTTGGTGAGATTGGTGACATTTTTATTTCATCTGCAAATGTAATCAAACGAAAGGGAAACTTATATAACTATACAGTAAACTATATTCATTGAATTAACTCGACTTAGAAAAAACAATAAAATATATTTATTTTTAATTAATAAATTTATATCAAAAATAACGATTTCTAACAGTTCAATTACGATTAAATTCAATATGACATCCAACTAGGTTGATTTTACGATTGTCTAATTTTAATCTATTGAACAAGTAGGCATTCCACTCCCAAATAATACGTACAAAAACTTAAATTTATTAATTTATGATGTGTATTTGGCTATTTTCAAATAATAACACCTGGAAACAAAAGAAAAAGATAACAGAAAGAGAACAAAACGAAAGCTTGTATCGAACAATGCATTCCTCGGTAATCAGTATCACTCAAAGACACACACTCGTAGATATCAAGGTAATACCACCACCTGCTGCTAAAATGCGCATCTACGTTTAAACTGAACAAACCCTAATAATAATCTAAACATAAAATCCAAAATTAAATGATAAATTAAACAAAAAAAGCGCAAACAATCGAAAATCAGATTCAAAGCATAACGTATGACATAATCAAGACCAACACCGTAAATGTGGCATGGACAACCAACGGAGCTTTGACGCTGTCAACGGCGTTGCTAGCATTGCTATTTTGGGAGTCGGCGGTGGGGCCATCTGACGGAGCAGGACCGGCGGTGGGAGATGAAGTCGGAGGAGCAGGAGGAGAAAGGAATGGGGAAGGTGCTGCTGCAGGTTCCGGAGATAGAGCAGCAGGTGCAGGAGACGACGCCGGAGAAGTTTCCGGTGAAAGAGATGGAGCTGGAGATGGAGATTTACCGAATAATTCAGTTGGGAGAAGTACATTGTCGACGGTAAAAATACAGAGCGGCGTCGAATCGAGAACCGTGCTAGCAACACGCGAAGTGGAAAATCCAGAATCAAGTGTAACGGAGTCTCCGGCGGTCTCAACGGTAAGATCGTACTTTCCGGCGCCGTTGGTCGCGAGTGTGCTAATCGGATCCTTGGTCGTCTTCAACGAGCCTTTCGGAGTGTAAGTAGCCAGAGCGTGGTATTGTAACAGTGCAACAAGCTCAGCATTCGACAACTTGCTCAGATCCGGTACACCGGCGCCCTTAAACGCTTCATCATTCGGAGCAAACACCGTCAATCCCTTCTCCGCCGCCGTCTGGAAAACCTTCAACACTCCGGTATCAGTAATCAGCTTCACAAACGTCTTGCAACCTGCTTTCTCCAACAACCCAGTAATATTAACATCAGCCGACGGAGCAGGCGCTGTTAGAATCCCCGGTGCGATTATAGGCGCGTTGATCTCCAAAACCGAAATGTTATACGGAATCTGTTTAACAGACTTGGTGTACGACGAATCGAGCTTCGAACCGGAGACGGCGGAGCCGAATCCGACCTTACCACCTTTCAAATCTGTAATATTAACAAATCCGACGTTTCCTGGGGAATTTCCGGTGGTTTGGTACAAGGTGGTGGAGAGCGTGGTGCCGTCGGAGATGGCGTGAAGCTTCTTGTTGTCGTAGTAGTCCAAAAGGATATGGAGGCTCAAGACGCTTTTGACGACGGAGAGTGGATGTTTCGCGGCAAGTGACGAAACGACGCCATTGTTCAACACCAGAACGGTGATCGTTTCACGGCTATTGATCTCGTCGCTGAGCTTTGTCTGTGAGAGGTAGCTGTTGAACTCGCTGTACTCAGGAAACTGCGACAAGATAGCGGTAATGTTGTGGGCGGAGACGACGGTGCCGGCGGCGAGAAGAGAGACAACGAGGAAGATGATGCGTAATGCGCCCATGGTGGCGCACTTTAGCAAAAAGCAGTGGAACCTGAAACTGAGTGTATACTATCGAGTGTATCGAGTGAGTGGGGAGGTTATGAACTTATGGAGTTACAACACCGAGAAGAGAGTTTAATAGGGATTTAACTTAACCATGGTTAATTTGAAATTTCAACTAGGGTTAGTTTTTAAACCTGTGGATGTGGTAGGGAGTGACTAGTGAGCTGGAAATCAAATGCCCATATTTGGTCAAAAAGACAAAAGAGTCCTTATGTTTAAACCATTGTACTGTTTTTTTTTTGGCATTTAATAACGTATACCCCTTTATCCATGTCCAGATTTGACAATTGTCATATCCACATGTATACAGCTTTAAAGACATGTACTCCACCCATTACAAGTTGTGTTATGTTATCATTATGGAAATTATTACTTTTCTCGACAAAAAAGAAACCAACGTTATTGTTTTTTTTTCTTTTGTTTTTATAGAAGATACTATCCAAATTACATAATGACCTTTTTAACTTCGAAAATCGTAAAATAACCACTGTATATGAAAATGTTACCTATCTCAAAGTACAAATTTGAACTACATGACTTTTGCAAGAATTATATAATTGATTTACAAGAACATGCCTATATATGTAGGCAGTGCAATGCACATTTTTACTTCGTGATCATACAATCATAACTTGTATTTTTTCTGGAAAATTGTATTGGCACACTTCAATTACGTCATAGTTCTCCATGGAGAGGTATAATTAATGCATATAGTGTGAGAGTTAATCCTTTACCACACCCTAGAACCCGACGAAGAAACAATCGTTAATACCCCGCTTATGAACAAAAGACAAGCTAGCCGCCCTAAAGAGCACTCCTACATACATTCACAAGACAAGGGTCCAATATTAAAACGACAAACTATATACCAACAATTAGGTCATACTCGCCTAAACTGTCCGGCTCTTATACCGACCAAATCATCAAAGTCGAGGGTTTCAAGCAGTAAGGGTAGGTATAAGGCTAAAGCTAACGCTGCACATATCCATTCACAAACCCTAAGTGACAACACCTATCATCCGATGTTAATTTGAATGAATGCATTAATAATAGCGTACAGTCCCTATGACATCCTTCTACGAAAAGATAGCCAAAACTAGTGGGCTGGTATTTGTGCCTTCGACCCACGGGTGCAATGAGGCGAAACTCACCTGAAATGAAGAAACCTGAGAACATTGTGATACGCTCCCTGCTACACTGCTTGCTCCCACGGATCCACTTGACATCAGAATCATATAGAATCTTAATCACCAATCAAAACCCTCATGTTTGACCTAAAGTCAAACTTAGTCAAAAAGTCAACGGTCAACGAAGTCAACAAAAGTCAAAGTCCAAGGTTGGTTGAGTACGCCCTGCGTACTCAACTTACCCCCACGTACATGGGATGGCTTAGTACGCCCAACGTACAAAAATTTCGCCCATGATACTCGAGTTGATTCCATCATTTCCATTAAGCACTTAATCCCTTAAGGATTTTTCACCCAAACTCAGATTTAGCCTCAAAACATTGTCTTAATTCATAAAGTTTCCACCTTTATGACTTTCCATGGCTAGGGAAGGTCCAAAAGCTAAATCCCTAACTTATTAATCCATTAAGACATCACAACTCTTGCATGGATGGGGTGGAAGGACCAAGATCACATTTTTATGGTTCCTAATAGCTTCATAATGGATAAAGTTTCCAACTTTATCCATTAGAATGGTTCCAACAAACAAGATCTAGTGTTTAATTCATAAAGGGACCAAAAATGCATCTTTTTCAACTTAATCCATTAAGTCCAAGTCTCCAACCTTCCGATCTGAATTAATATGATGTTTAGATGGATAAAGTTTCCAACTTCATCTATAACAAGGTCACAAACTTTCAAGATCTAAACTTTATGCACTAAAGTGACCAAAAGCTCAAAACATCCTAAATTAGATAGATCTAACAATTTCGTCATCAAGATTCAAACTTTATACCTCCAGAAGAAAGATCGAGGTGAACAAGGTATGGATCTACAAGCTCCAATGCAACCAACGCTTCTTCAATGAGATCCTTTTTCTCCAAGGTGCACCAAAAACACGTAAAAACACCTTCTTTTTTCCCACAAGGCTCAAACTAGGGTTAAGGTTTCAAGAGAGGGTGTTGGAGAGGTCGAGGCTGGGAATGGAATGGGTTTGGGGAAGTTAAAGAGCTTAAATATGTCTCAAACCATGAAAATAGGGTTTGGGCACTAATCGCGTACACCCAACGTACGAGGGATGCCCTAGTACGCCCAGTGTACGCAGCTAACATAAAAATTGTCCTAACTTCATATGGTCGTAACTTCTTCGTTCCGACTCCGTTTTCGACATTCTTTATATCCACGGAAAGGTATTGAAGAGATCTACAATATTATCTAAATATCTTGGACTAAAAATTTATTGAATAAAAATCCATATTTCATGCAAGAACCCAGCCTATGAGTTTTTCCGTTCTACCCTTTGGCCCAAACCACAATTCAAGGTTTAGATCTCATAACCATCGTTGCCTCCTTCCAAAATGTCTAAAAATTACCTCCTTAAGGCCCAAATCCTTTACATGATCGACTTCCGACTCACGACCTTGAATAAGAAATGACGAGGAAATAGGATGTTACAATTCTCCCTCACTTAAATTAGATTTCGTCCTCGAAATTAGCTATCTCTTCCACTTCATGATGCAACCCCTCACATTAAACAAACTAACCAAAAACCCGCATATTTGATCGGCTCTGAACCTCCTCGGCCAAACGCCATCATGATAATCCTGCACATAAGTGCATCATCGCGACGAGAACCAACTGGTCATATACCAAACTAGGACACACTCCTACTTGGCTTCGACAACCCTGCTTAGCTATCTAGTGACAACACTCAGGCTTATCCTTAACTTAACTAATCCTACTAGGTCTTCGGGTCGTGACTCACACCTCTAAGCCCTAATCAAACAAGAACAGACAAGGAAGCCCTCATCACATCCCTCAACCTAGACTCCTAAAACCCTAGAGTCTAAAGCACAAGAACGCCCTACATATGATGCCACAACTAAAACTAATACGAATTGAAGGGAAATCCAACAGTTGGTGATGATCTTGATGCGAAACCGAAAGATTCAACAGTTGCGCGAATGTCTTGAACTTGGAGAAATCTAATTGAGAACCGAACCTTGGCACAAGGTCTTCCTGATACGAGTTCCACTCTCCCCTACTTGAATTATACTGGAATTTGACAACTTCACAGTCCTTTGGTTCCCTACTGCTTGATCCCAACCATTGATATCCATATACACAGGATAATCTAAATCCACACAACATTCACAAATTCCATCACGCATACAATTGAGGATTAGATAATTCAATTCATAATAATAATTCAATTAAAATAGAGCAAACAAGGAAATTTAATCCAATTTATCATCCAAGGTTACAACTGAACTTCCAAACATAAACATGAATTACAGATAAATACCAATATTATAGCAATTGCTAGATAGAAGAACTGCTAACTCAAATCTCGGTCTCTGGGACTTCCACCTCCCATGACGATCGTCGAGTAACTACCAAGCTAGGGGTGAGGGATCCAACACCTCACCAAAAATGAGAAAATGACAACGAGCTTTGATGTGGCCTTCCTGGACACAATGGAAACAAACTCACACACTTCGCCTGCAATATCTACCAAAATGGCCCTCCTCGCCATACCTGTGGCATACAAAAGATTTTTCACCTCCCTTCAGTTGATCCCGAACTCCGACTGGCGGACTGGAACCGCTTTGTTTTAGGCTGCAACTGAACTAAAGCCTATCGTTGCTCCCTTTCCTGGGTCTCTATCTCAATTTTCTCCTCCTCGCGGCATCCTGAAGCTCAGCGAGGGTACTGTATCGTTGGGTAGACACAAATTTCTAAATATCCGTCTTGAGCATACTCAAGTACCGAGTCATTTGAGCATGCTCAGAGGCAGCAAACTCAGGGTAGAAGAGAGCCCTTTCCATAAACATCTTGGTAACCTCCATCACCGTCTCAGTAGTCTGCCTCAAATCCAAATACTCGTGAGCCAACCTCTCCTTCTCCACCATGGGAACATACCTTGCACGGAACATCTCCGAGAACTACTCCTAGGTAACAGCAGCTCTCTGTTCAGAAGTGTAAGCACTAGTCACCAATCTCTACTAACCCTTCGCCCCCAACCTGAGAAGGTTTAGGGCGTACTTGACCTTCTACTCAGCAGGGCAAGAGCATTTGAAGAAACAACCCTCCACATCAGACATCCATCTTATTGTTACAATCGGGTCCCCGACCCCTTCAAACTCCTGGGGCTTCGTATTGTCGAAGTCATGCTACTGGAAAGATCTCTCCCCTCGAATCCCTGTCGCAGAAACTGCCACGGTGGCTACAGCAACAACATCATCCGAAAGAAAAGCATACCGATCATCAAAAAGCTCAATCATGGCAGTCATGATAGACCCAAACATCTTCGTCGTAGACATCTGAACCGCAGCAGCCACCTTAGTGGCGATGACCTCCCGAATCTGATCATCAGTCAACCCTACCCTATCATGGCCACTCGCTCTAGACCCAGAACCAGATCCTCTCGTAAACACCATACTAAAAATAAACTAGAATATATCAGAATGTCACATTACACATTGCTACAATCACGATACTAGACTCGATTCCTCGGGGCTTATGACTTCCTTGCTTCGCGTACGGGTCCTATGCTTTTAGTAGTACGGGCCCACACTACTTTCCACACCTACCCGTATTTTTCTCAAGGATCATCACAATCGCCCAACACAAATACCACAAGGAGGATACGCATACACCCTATCCTCATTATCTCATGAGTGGCTAAACACTCCGCATCTGGCCGGCTATTCATGCGCATAGTCAACCATGAAACTTCCACCAACCGTACAACACTCGTGTATGCTAATCATACATAACAATGGATCCTAT